ACGCGGATAGACCTCCGAATAGCTTCACGAATACAGGTACTTCAAATTGTATGCGATTCTCTATAGAAAACCAAGTACCAGCACGTCAACGGCCTCACCAACGCGCTGACGGCCTTGCCAACGCGTCAACGGCCTTATTCCTAGCCAAACACCTCGCGGATAGACCGAAAAGCTTCACAAATACAGGTACTTCAATTTATATGCGATTCCCTATAGGAATTCAAGTACCAGCGCGTCAACAGCCTTGCCAGCGCGTCGACAGCCTTGTTCCTAGCCAAACACCACGCGGATAGGCCTCCGAATAGCTTCATAAATACAGGTACTTCAATTTATATGCCATTCTCCATAGAAAACCAGGTACCAGCGCGTTGGTAGCCTTTAACACCATTCTACAGTCAAAAAACGCGTTTACTACGCCTCAAAATAGCTTCAAAATAAGTTCGCAAAGGTCTTTTTTATTAAGTTTGCCAATAAGGTACGGGTACATTGATTTGTGTGGGAGACCTCATACAAATCAATATACCCGTACCTTAACGCATGACTTAGCAATTTTGGCCTTCAATGCTCTGTAGGAGCGTTGTTACAGTTTGTATGTACATTACCATACAAATTCGAACACAGCCCCTTTTAGGCATGGTGGTCCTCGGAGCCGGTGGGTCTGTCGCCAGAATACGCGCTCCCTTGCGGTCGAGGCTCGTGGATAAAAAAACTTGGGTAGAGCCAAGCCTCGAACCAGGGATACCGCCAGGCGCCAGCTGGTCCCTCTTGCACTAGGGAAGAACTCGTGGAAATCCCCCAAAGGCCTGGACTGTGCGAGCTTGCGAAACAACCAAAAACCATACAAGGACTTGTGACTACGTCGTATCATCGTCGTATGCCGGTCGATCACAATCGACGAGTTAGCGAGCATTGAAGGGGTAGTCAAACACGGGGATCGTTTAGACGAGGCCAAGGCGATAGCTAGCTATGCCGTACGGAGTAGCCTTTTTGATAGATTGCCTGTCAGCTTGAACGCATCTCCAGATACGTAACGTCATAGTGAGAGATGTGAAGCGATCATAGCATACGGATACTCGTCCTTGGCCAGAGGAGCAGGGATACTAACCTTATCTGGTCCTTGGTCCGGACCCCCTTTATTTTGGATTTATCGATTCCACTCCACGATAATCTCCGGTCCGCCCACGGCGCTAGCCCGCTTGGTCCCAAGCAAAGGACACAAAAAGGACGGAAATCGTTCCCAGATTCCCTTCCTGGTGTGCTTGCCAAGCCTGGCTTATGCCCAAGCTGGACCTGCCACCCGGCCCCAGAGGCTTGGTTGACGATGAGAACGGAGGCACTTCCATTCCAAGCACAGTCCCCCCCTTGTTTGTCCAGGACTCCAGCAGAGCTTCGCACTTAATCGCCGAAGGAAGATGACAGGACGCGTCGATCATGGGTCGGCAGTGGAATGCGGCAGCTACCGCGAGGACTCGAGGGCGAGGAGAGCTCGTCGTGATGGGTTGTATAGCGTACCAAGGTAGAGTAGTACAAGCCTCGATGTGGTCATCCCGAAGCGTCGAAACAGACGAACGATCGACAGGCTGGTGAAACAAGATCCGGTTCTCGCAACGACGTGATCGTGCGGCAACGATCAGCCGTTAACGGGGCATGATGGGATCGTTGTGACAGGTAAGACCACCAGCGATCGTCGAGGCCCATATTAATAATAATAATAGCACCGGCCAAGGTGGGCGCCTTCGCCACGGCTTGGTGCGCGTTGGAGCAGTAGCGAAGATCGATGGATCTGCACTAGGAGATTGTGCCGAGTCGAAGCGTTTTCTGGCTCTGCTGCTCATAGCCGTCCAAGCGAAGGAGCTGATGAACTGCCGATGGCTGATGCTGAGCTGACGCTGCGAGACATTCAACACAAAGAGAATTCTTCTGTGAGACACGGAGCAGACGGTGTTCCTGGCTGAAGGGTCGAAGTAAGATTACCAGCCGGTACGCAATACGCACAATACGCGATGCGCAGCGCAATCAATTAAGCTTTGGCGGGAGTCTCAGACATTATTACTACAAAGTACATTATTACATACGGTACTGTCACTTGTAAGACAGACAGCTCGGCTCGGCTGCGCTCCACGCCAGGCCCAAGCAAGCAAGCCCACCTCCCGAGTCATTTCCACGACGGCGGACGGCGAATCAGCCTTGGAGATCCTCGGCCAAAATGATTATTCTGGCCATTTTCTTTTATTTATTCTGGATTCTTTCATTTGCTCCCCACCTCCTCCATCATCTCTACCGGCCCTGGCACTATAAACCTCGTTGTCTCCCCCCCCTGTTCCATCTCCCCACTCCATACATACAATCTGGATGCCTTTGGGATAGCGTCGTCTCCATCTTATATGCTTACCTGCTCGCCACGTTTTCCCCTACTTTAATCCCTCCATCCCGTCCACCTCCCGTCGAGAGCTTCCAGACAAACTTCTTACACCCTCACCACACCACCTCTTACCTGGTTCGGCGCTTCGACTTACTTCACATCAACATACATCATACACCACCATGGATCTCGCCAACCTCATCTCCCAACCGGGCCCCGAGCCTGCTATGACTGTTCGGTCAAGATACAGCCCTCCGGCCTTTGAGCCCGGCACCTTCTACTCGGCCAACACCTCATTCACACGAACACAAGCGCCGCTATCGCCTCCAGTTGAGGATCGATCTTCCAAATGCTCACTACCTTCAATATCCGCGCTCCTCGACAGCGCCGACGGCGCCTCAACACAAGCAACTAGTAAGCCTTCCTCCAGCTTATCCGATCTTGCGCAATCTAACATACCAGTAGAGCGCCAACGGCTAAGCTCGCCAGTGTACCGCGAGGCTTTCGACAAGAACCCCGCTGCCGCAGCCCCCATTCGCCTCCCACCCACTCCTCCATTGCGCCCCGGCTCCGGCTTTCACAGTGCCGGCCACTCCCCCTCCAGCTCCATCTCCTCCATCTCCATGATAAAGACCGAGTACCCGCAACCTCCGGCGCTCCCAGTCTCTCTACCGGGCCTTCCCAGCCCAACCGACCGCTCCTCCATCTCCAGCCAAGGATCCGCGCACCACCAGCACCACGGCCACGGACCCTACGCTTCTCCAGCACCCAGCGTGGCGCCGTCTTACTCTTCACCCGTCGAGCCCTCGCCTTCCGCAGCAATGTACTACCAGCACCAGCACCAGCATCAGCACCAGCGCCCAGCATCTGCAGGCACATACCAAGCTCCTCCCCCTCCTCCGCCTTCACACCAACAGCCCATGATCTCGCCCGTGACACCGGCCTGGCAGCACCACCACTACTTCCCTCCATCCTCGAACACGCCCTACCAGCAGAACCACGACCGATACATCTGCCGCACATGCCACAAGGCTTTCTCGCGGCCGTCGAGTCTGCGCATCCACAGCCACAGCCACACAGGCGAGAAGCCGTTCCGCTGCACACACGCCGGATGCGGCAAGGCCTTTAGTGTTCGGAGCAACATGAAGCGTCATGAGCGGGGCTGCCACTCCGGCCGGGCTGTTGCGATGGTCTAAACAGCCAACGCGGCACCTCACCTTCTCAAACACCAAAGAGCGAGTTATTTCACTCGCCTAATACCCAAAAAAGAACATACACTAATCGCCTGCTTGCCTGCTTGTGTGCTTGTGCTTGTGCTTCTTCATCTATTTCGCATGATACCCTCTCATGTTCTGTTCATGTTCATTGCACCGGTGTCACGGGGATCAAGGAATCGAATCATCAAATCTGGACTTCAATACCAAACATACCTGGCCTCCTACCTACCCCTTCTCTTCTACCCATGTATATCTATCTCCCACCCACATTTCTCAGACAGGCCAGGCCAGGCCAGGTCGCATACCGGAGCCGGATACGGATACAGAGCGAGCGGAGCAATGGCGTCTCTGGGCTCTTATTATTATTACTTTCAGGAAGATACCCTTCGGAAGGTATCTCATATTATTATTTATGTTTTTTTTTTTCTTGTGTCATTTCCTTTGTTCCGAGTGATGATGTGATATGAATGAACCCTTTTCCTTATCTCTCTCACCTTATCCTCAGACAAACCTACAATACAATACAAGACAGAAGAAGACTCAGATTAAGACAAAAGAAATAAAAAGACGAATATCACTCAATTCATAGTTTCTTGTAGCTCTTGTTCAAGGCTTAGCCGATTAACATGGATCATACCATACTGGCTGTGCTCTAGACGTTTAGTAACCGAGGTAGCCTAGTCCTAGTAGTGCAGTCTTATTAACTCTTGCTACCCAGGACGCTAACCTCTTTGACTCCTTGACTCCTTCATGAGCCCGAATGCAGACTACAACAACCCTTGGATACACGAAAGGTTCTCCATGTTTGCTCAAACCGAAATGCATTCCATAAGATCATCTCTCATAACGCCCCAAAAAGTTCAGGTATCACGGCCAACTATAGACAAGAACTGAACGTAAATACAGAGAGCAACGTGAAGCAACGCTCCCTCCCATGCGGACTCTACCCTCACGTCCCGAGGAAAACACCAGACCAAACCGAAGGGATATACGGATAGTAAGTAATAAGAAGAAGAATCAAGAAAAAGTCTAAGTAGCCACAGACCGAGGGCCAGTGCCAGCTATGGATCCCCTGCCTCTAGACCGCGCAATGAAAGCGCGTCTGTTTCGCACGGCCGTGCCGAAGTCGATGAGGTTGGGGTTTTCGGGCATATTTTCGCCGGAGACGATACACAGAACCCTCATGCCGGGCTTGTAGACGAGGCCGCTTAGCAGCTTCGGTGTGATCAGGAAGTACTGGCCGCCGCCGCCGCCGCCCTCGCTGCTTGGAGCGCAGGCGATTTCGACGAGGCGCCCGTGGACCATGCGTTCGTTGCGCGGGTCCATACCTTGATTGATTTCGTCGACGACGCGGAACGGCGAGGCGGAGAGGGACTGGAGGGCCATGAGGTAGAAGATTGTGCTGACGGCTCGCTCGCCGCCAGATTGGCGATGGGAGTCGAGGAGAGACAGGTTTTCGTGCTCGCGGAACTTGACCCAGATTTGGATGGACCACTGGTCGAAGTCGGTGTCGGTTTGTTGCCCGTCAGGCCCGGGCTCGCCTGCCTTGTCTAGCTGTACTGAACCGGCGCAGCCGATGCGGGCAAACGAGTCGGAGAATGCGTCGCTGACGTTCTGGATGATGGCGTCTAGTTCGGGCTCCCACTTGCCTCTGACTTCGGCGATGGCGTCGTTGAAGTCCTTGAGCTTTGTTTCGAAGTCGGCGAGTTTCCTGCGAAGTTTGTTGATTTGCCTTTCACGCTCTTCGAACTCTTCAACCACATTGCTCGGCCCTCCCTGCGTGAGTTCGAGGCGGGCCTGTTCTGAGTCGATTTCCGCGTCCAGTCCTTCCGGACTTAGAGTGTTGGCTACCGCATCCCTTGCTATCGCTTGCAAGTCGGGATCCTCTCTCGCCTTGTTTGAAAGTTGCCTTGTCTCTCTCTCCATTCTCCTGGATTCTGCTGACTTTTCTCGGACTTGTTCTTGTAATTGCTTTAGCTCGTCCCTCTTTGCGTTGAGCCTGTCCTCGTATTCACGATTGCGGAGTTTCAGAGCTTCCCAGTCCGAGACTCCCTCGATCTTCCATAGCGACAATTTAATCATTTCCTCGTGTGCTTCACGGAGTTTCTCAACAGCATCCTATCTGAAGTTAGCGTCGGTTCACATTCGGACGCCAGGTCTCATACCGCGTATTTAGAAACAGCAACAGCCTTCTCAACTGACAACTTATCCTGCTGATTGCGGATTTTGATCAAATTGGTCTTGATCTTGGCAAAAGAAGCGTCGTGAGCCTCTTTCCTGGTTTCCTGCTGGCCTATCATGCATGGTCAGCGATCGGTTCATAGATCGGGTTGGAGGATATGACTTACGGATTCTTTCTGGGAGGGCTCTGTATAGAGTGTAGGCGGTTTGTTTAGTGTTCTTTTCATGTTCGAGTTTGTCCTATTCGTCATGTTAGCAAATCTGGCTGAGTAGTATAAATATGGTCCACTGACCCTGTCCTCCCGGGCAGTTTCGATCTGACTTTTCAGCTGAGACATGCGTGCCTTATCCGACTCAATCCTTTCCTGAATCTCATGCATGTCGCTTTTGAGCTCTTGAATCCCTCGTTGCAGCTCGGCCTTTGCCGATGCATCAACAGGTTGGGATGTCCATATCCTGGCTGGCCGTACTTGTCTCACGCGTGTAGACGTAGCCCCGGGGCCATACTCTCGCCGTCGAGTGATTTGGTAAGACTGTTTACCAGCAACCCAAGAAGAGACCGAGCCGCGCTCCAGAGTCGCATAAGTTTCATCGGAAATATCCCTTAGGCTAACCGGCGTTTGATGCAGCAACTTTTCGCTAACCAGCGATGCAACCACAGGTTCTGGACCATCAATGAAATCCTTGGCCCAGCCTTGAAAGCCCAAATCCCTGAGCTCATGGTCCTGCATTGGAGAGCGGAGATTGGCTAGTGGAATAGTAGAAGTCCGAATACTGATATCATGGAGACCCATTTCCTTATTAAGGTGTCTTTGTAACGTCCTGAAATCTGCTCGACTCTGGGCCGTAAAGAACGTAAAGTCCGACTTTTGCAATAATGACTCAACGTGGTCGGCATATTTGGGGTCTTTGATAGAGCAGGTGACAATCGGGGGCCCAAATACTTCCTTCTCGAACTTGTCTTGATTTTCTAAGAGCCACTGATAAGCCCTGTGGGAATCGGAGGAGACGTTTTGCAATTTCCTCTCTTGTTGCCCGGCGCGGGAATCTAGGTTCTTCAGTTGCTGCTCGCTCTGCTTCAGTCGATTGCTTGTTTCGTGGAGTTGCTCATGAAGCGGTCGTCGACGTTCAGAAATCTCATTCGCCTTAGTTTCAATTTCTCGCATCTCATGTCGTCTCTCTCTCTGTGAATTGAAATTAGCAGAATGCTCACATCAATGTTAGCCAACTCCGTCGCACTTACAATCTGTTCATTGTACCAATCTGCGTCAAACTCCACAGGTTCATCGGCCAACTGCCGCTTGAGAGATTTGATGTTCTGAATAATCTTGGCCCCTTCCGTCCTAGATCTCAAAGCACTCTTTTTCTCGCCCTCGAACTCGGCATCCAGTTGCTTCATGCTTTCTTCGGATTGCTCGATTTTCCTGTTGATTTCCATCGCCGCTCTGTCTACCCTCTCAATAGCACGCTGTTTGTGCTTGACCACGGCATCTAGTCGCATACAATACTCCTTCTTCTGCTCACTGGATCTCATCACAGGCTTCAGTTGGGCCTCAAGAACTTCAAGTTCGCGTTGAGAAGCATCTCGTTCATCCCGCAAAGCCTTCAACTCCTTGACCAAACCTTGGTACACGACCAATGGACGAATCTGTTCCAGTAGTTCAATTCTTCGCACGATCTGTGCTCTTTGGCGCACCCGCTCGACGTCAGCGCGTTGCATTTCTTGTCGGTTTTCAAGATTCACAAGCTGTTCCTTGTCGTGTTGGTTGGTCGATTCGAGTTTCTTCTGCTCTGCCCGTAAACTCTTCAGATTCCCGTGCAACTCTACCATCTTTGCTCCGCCAGCCGCTCTTTGAGTCGAGTTGAGGAGCTCTATCGGTGTAAGAGCAGCGAATTCACTGACTTTGTCCTGTGGAAGGAATTGGCATAGGTTGTCGACTTGAATAGCGAACGACTGGGCAAGCCTGAGCACCTCCTTCCCTGTAACTGGCTTCCCGTTCAACGTGTAAGAAGTCTTGTTGCCTTCTCGCTTGATGGTACGCGTCACGACGGGGTTCACGCGGTGATTGGGGCCACGAGCAAGCTCGATCTCGATTGTTGCCTCTCTGCATCCATGCTTGACGAACTCGCCGATTTCTTTCGCGCGTCCTAGATGCTATAGTAATGAACAAAAATCTTTAGTTCTAGGGAACACGTAGATAGATCAACTTGTACGTACCGTCGGCCCCCATCCTAGCCCAAGACAGATGGCACAAACAAGCGTACTTTTGCCCGTTCCATTCGGCCCAATAACCATATTCAGCTTTGGACCAGGGAAGAATTCGGCCGCCGTATAGGTCACGAAGTCCTTGACTTTGATCCGCACAATAGCTCCGGGCTTGTACCCCTCCTGCGACGTTCCTTGCGTCCGCACGCCATTCTGCCCGATCGCCAACGGTCTTGAAGGACCCTGGCTCTGGCTCGGCCCCTGACTCTGATCTGACCCTGTTCTCTCACTCTCCTGGCTAGACGACGCGGGCTCGGATCCATCCTCACTACCGTCCTCTTGTTCCTCGTTTTCGCGTTCGGACTCTGATTGGGGCGTTTCTTCGGAAGATTCACGGTCTGACTCTATCCTGGGTCGTTTGCTGTTGCTCGCAGGGGTGGGGGCGGGGGAAGACGTTGACGCAGACGCAGAATGGATATCGTCGTCCTCCGCGTCAGACCGTCGGCGGCGTTGAGGGATGCTGCTGCTCAGTGAAGGCATATTTGGTATTTCTGACAGATGTGACTGCCTTGACGAAAGTCACCGAGCATGGGGTACAGACAAGGTTGGGTATTGTCGGATCACCTCGCCATTGAGGGCGACTTTCTTTGTGTCACTTTTCTTTGTTGCCGGATTGCTGATTGCGGGATGGATCTCGTGGACGCGACGCGCTAAGAATCAATCTAATCCCGGGGTTAGTAGGCGGTAAGCTGCGGCAGAACCGAGCGGTCGCGATGATTTTCGTTTGACTTGGCGGAGGCTCGGAGCCGCTTTGCGACAGGGAATCAGGTCAACAGCAGGGAAGGAATATGTCTATCCTCAATTCGCCGCAGAAATTCAAGAAGCTGGTTCTGACCGGAGCTGTCACTGCGATCACTATTGCCGGGACGCTCTACGGTGCAGGACTGAAGACGCAACAAGAGGTTTCTCAAGTGAGTGATTTACAACAATGCTTCTCGTCGATGATCTAATCATTGATATAGCATACGCAAAAAGCCCGCGAAGTTACTCTAGACGAGCGAATCGCGTCACTTCAGAACACGCGACAAATTCTCATGGGAAAGAAAGAGCTTGTTGAGAAGCAGATGCAAGACTTAGACGCCAAGATCGAAGCGCGGAAACAAAAGGGTATCGATAATAAGCGGGTATGAGGGGCAATGGACGTTCGGTACTTCTATAATCGAATTGAGCAATGAATGGTTGGACCATTGCACTATTTCCACGCCAATGCCCTGTTCTCAGGGGGCACCGACCCTTCGGAAATTGAAGTTATGGCCCAGCTCGGCCGGTCGCTACTTGCGCCGGTCGCTACTTGCGCCCAAGCATCTGCCAAAGAATGGACGTCGTATCTTCGGAGCAGCCGAGCTCGACAAGATCGGTAGCGTTTTAGCCTACGAGGTACTTGCCGACACAATGCGAAAACCTGTTGGGCACGACAACCATGAGGGACTCTTTGAGGGCAGAATAAGGGGATTACAGTACCTGCATGCTCGTTCGCCCGACAAGGATGGCCCAATCAGTGGAAGGCCAACTGTTGCGAGCTGGACTCGCACCATCAGCGGCATAATATTCGCCGAAAGACCGCCCCCAGCAATGTTGCTACAACGATCAACGTTGAAAATCCGGAATATTGTATTCTAGTCTACTCTTATTTTGGAGTACATAATTCGAAGATCCAAACGGGCATATAGAGATCTGCTCAGTCTTCATCCCAATAACTAACAAAAGAGAATAAATATCCAGAGATTGTTTATAGTCCTGAGAGAATGCCGTCTTCGAGAGAAGTATAGATGCAATCTGAGATGGGAGAAACATCGGTCATGGCACATCAATCATCCAATATGCCGCGTGTGAGAGCCACGAGACTAGCTTCGTATCTTGCTGGGTTATGGTCACTGAACATTCCAGAGCCGAATCGCAACTCTCCAAATCGAGATTCAACGTCTCGAATGAACTTCAGTTGCACTCTGGTTGCTGGTCGACCCAGCCGTGGGGAGCCATCTTCGCCCATATCGGAGGTAAACGCACTCCGCTGCAACACTCGCATTGTTTCAACCACGAAGACCTCCCCAGGAGGTACTAATTTGGGCGCACACATGGCTTCTCTAAGAGATTTGAGGGTTCTCCATGCCCATGCATCCTCCCCCAGGCCATCGCCGGCGTTAAGGAGCATTGGCGTGTCGTGAACATAAAACTTGTTTACTATACTCTGACGCAGGTTTTCCCAGACTCGTTGGCGGACATTGGATTTGGCCTCGGAAATGTCACCCTTGAACGCCAACGATGTCGTATGCATATCGTGCAGAATGCCGAGAGAAAGGCAAGGTACCACGTCCTGACCGTTCACTATCGTGGTAATCAGCCCACGGGTTGCACGGCGGAGGAATGGTGACATTGCCGCCGGTGGTCCATATGCATAGACATGGATAGGGCGTCCAGGAGGAAGGTAGCAAGCGGCGTGGGGATCACCGGTTTCTTTAGCACTCTTGAGAAGAAGTTTGCCGTCCGATTTGGAGGTGGTTGTGAACGACACCAGAGATGGCTCACTGGTAGGTTCGGATATCATCGTAGCGAGAAGTGCGGCCACACCTCCGCCTAATGAATGTCCACACAATACAACCCCATAATCAGGGAACTCCTCTAATGCGGCTCGAATCGTGATCATCACTCTGCGCCCACCACCCATCAAGAGGTGTTTCGCAGAGGCATGCATCCCCTTGTGGACTTTCCAGCTTTTCCCTTGCCATTCCAAATCATCGTATTCGCAAGTCATATCCGTCAGGACGTCTTCGAAGCCCCATGTTCCTCTAAGTGCCAAAACAACGGCCTTTGACTCGTGGTCTAGGAACAGGTAATGGACGAGGGGAAAACCGCTTTCAGTCTCACCAGCAGCGTTGGATCCGCCAGCAGGATCGACGTATGATGAAAGAAGGATGGTAGACGCAGGCAGTCCTGTGTGGTGGGAAAAGTCGTTGTGCTCTTGACTGTGAATGTTATCGCGAATTGGGTCTTTCGGCTCCCGCGGTAAGCCCATTACCTGGAGAGCGCTAGCTCCGTAGGTTGCGGACGCAAATCGACAGAAACGTCTGATATTGCGAACGAAATGCCTTTTGGGGAAGATCCCCGGAACATGGCCGTCCCTGTTAAGCGCTTGGATGGTGGAAGCATCGTCGTACGCACTTTTTCGCGTCCGATGGGCTAGTACAAGAGATGTATCTGATCCGGCCGTTGCCAGGGAGTATATACTAGCCGTGTAAGATTTAGACCTTCGATGACCAGAGTTTGGGCGTTTATCAGGAAGAAGATTGACGGTTGTTTCTGACTCGGACCGTGTAAGAGACAACGAGCTACTGCTGCGAATAGGAGCTCTTGTCGCTGCGGGCGAAGATGGCCGCAGTTCTTGCGTTGGAGAATAAGTGTCAGTTTGCATCATATAAGATTCTTGGCTCTTTTCGTGCACCCTATAATAGTCTCCTCTGGGACCCGTCATACGGCTGTCATGCCTACTTGTGCTTGGGCTATGGGGTGCTCGATGAGTTTGCGGTACGGTTCTCGGGACTCCTCTATTCGCGGTGAGGAGCGAAGTTTCGTTCTTAGAAGGAACGCCCGGCTTTCCTGTCTTTGACTGTCGGGTTGGCTTATCTGGTTGCGCCTGCACGGAAGGCTTTTTCTCTGTCGCAGCCGCTTTGGACTTATTGTTTTGTTTCGAGCCGGCGGGCGTCATTTGAGAGTTGGACTGCTGGAAAGGCAATCGTAATGATGGCCTTCTCAACAGATCGTTTTTCTCGCTTGCGCCAGTCTTGACCCTTTGAGCAAACTTCGTGAGGGAGCCTCTGCCAAAAGTTCCCGAAACTCGTCTAGCTGGTTGTGGCGGTTCCCCGGGTGAAGTATGGGTACCCGGATCGTGTATGACAGGGGATACCTGCATTAATTGGTCGAAATCTAGCTTCTGACGTTTGTGCTCCCTATCTCGGCTGGCATCTGTGCTCCCTGGACCAACGTCGACCGCAGAGTCATCTGATAATATGTGACCGTCACCGTCATCATGCCCGTGATTCGTTTCGCGTGTACCAACAAGATGCCTCGACGGTGGCCTTACATCGGCACTCTGCGACCTATTGAAGGCAGTTCGGAAGACGACAGTGTGCTTAGGGATCTGCGGACCGGTTGATTCCCTGCCGCCATCATGGGCGTCATGATGGAATCTTTCTTCGACAACCATGGTGCTAGGCGGTGCGGCAATATCTCCATCATAATCGTCGTAAACGTTCACAGTAATTGTCTGCGCGGTGACAGAGTCTGTCTTGATCGACGCGCGGCAGCCCCGCGGAAGCTGCTTCATTATGTAAAGTCGAATGTCTTCGTCGGACATATGATGTTGAACATCTGGAAGGATGATAGAAGGCGGTTCTGAATCGTCAATTGCACCTTCTGGACGTTCCACCACGTCGAATTCCTCCTCTGCGGTTCCAGGAGATATGAAAGAAGATCGTCTCGACCCGTTCCGCCTAATTTCAGGCCGGTTCACGGGCTGTATCTGGTGCATATCAAGAACATCCGCTCGTATACCGCTGTCGAGTATCACGACGTCCCATACGGACTCTAGCCCACCGCTGAGACGACTTTGTCTCTCCGTGTTCTTCCTTCCCCATCGCTGGAGCATGACGAACCCGACAGTGCCGACCAGGAGATCGCCCACGCCAACTTTTTCTGAGCCCATTTCAATGCTTTGGTCTCTGAACTCCTTTCGGATCAGGGTTATAATAGCCGCAATAGCTCTTGACGACTCCGTGGACCCAAGGATAGCATCGAGTGTCGATAAGAGTGCTTGGGACATATTCGAGGCGGATGAGAGGGTCGTGGAGGAGAAGTGGAAGGATGCAGCGGCAAAGAATGACGCGGAAGTTATCGTCGTGTGCAAGGCAGCCAGCTAATGATCAGGTTAGCACACGGCGCGCAAATGATACGGAGGTCCTATAACGGCGTACACTTTTCTCGAGCATGGACTCGGCTTCCGCCTTGCCATGACTCCCGCTGCTTCGAACAGCAACATCTCGCCCGGCCCTTGTAAGGATTCCCTCAATGACGGTTCGACTCAGCTCTAACCCGGTCAGTGTTGTGACCCTTGCCCCGTCTAGAGCGACTCCGCCGACAAAACTTCCCACCCTCAGCGACAGAGAAGTAGACTGGGTGAAGAACGACACCAAAGATGCAACTGGTCCCGGAAGCAGGGATGAGCCTGAAGACGCAGGTACATGACTTGTGCGTCCACGGATTTCCGATCCGTTCGCTTCGATATCGTCTTGTTTAGAGCTTGGTCCCCAGCCTAGCAATCTAGGCATCGCGGGCCATTGACGTAATCAGACAGATTTGTTTCCACCGCACGCTCAGCGTTCATGGACAAGCGGTCCCTGGGATATAGGGTAAGGACGTATAAATGCTATCATTTGAATGATGATGGAAGGGCCAGAATCCAAGATTCAGGCCTAGATGCGTTGTTGTTGCGTCAGAAGACTCAGCTGGCAAGTAACCATTCACATTCCAGGCATTCAAGGAGGTTGAGCGGCATGTGATTGATCCCCGTGTTTCCCCAACAAAACTCCGCAAACAATAACAATCATGCGTCCAACTTTATACAGATTTGAGATCACTAGATCTTTACTAGTTGAGATATTGGTGGTATTTATTCATGTTCCTCTAGATCAGCACGTGTCCTTGCACTTCGATGTCCGGCTAGACCCAAAAAATATATATCTAGATGATAGGGCAGTTGTATCACAACATGGCCTTCGTATCGCCAGGATATTGAATTTTCCTGATTTTGTCTCTGGTGCACTCTGCCACGGTACAGATCCCAGCCAATGACATGCTCTGCCACAGGTCGGCTTGAAGACCCTTGAGGATGGCTTTGGCACCATTCTTGCCGTCGACTGACAAGCCATAGATCACTGGTCTCCCGACCAAGATGCCCTTGGCTCCGAGACATAGAGCCTTGATGATATCGACGCCGGTTCGGATCCCAGAATCAAAGAGCACAGTCAGCTTATCACCGACCGCATCAACGATCTCCGGGAGCACCTCCAAGGAGGCAATAGCCCCATCGACTTGACGACCTACGCCGAGTTAGCATGCAGCCAAGCCAGGTGGCAAAAACATATGAGATACTTACCTCCGTGATTGGAAACCACGATACCATTACAGCCAGCCTCAAGCGCAAGCTTAGCATCATCTACATGCTGAATACCCTTAAGCACAAGCGGCCCATCCCAGTTCTTACGCAAGAACGAAACCTGGTCCCAGACGTGAGGTTCTGCGGACAGAACGTTGCCGATCCAGGCCCTAGACGCACCGACAATATCGTCCTCAACCTTCCCGCCGCTCTCCTTCTCGAACTTTGCGCGGAACACCGGGTCTGAGAAGCCGATTTGGTTTCCGACCCCGCGGATGAACGGGATGTAAGCGTTGTCGAGATCCGCCGGTCGCCAGGACAGAGACCAGGTGTCTAGTGTAACCACGAGGACAGAGTATCCGTTCTCTTTTGCCCGCTTCAGCAAGGAGAGTGTGATCTCGTCGTCACCGGGCCAGTAGAGCTGGAACCACCGCTTGCCGTCTCCGCTGGCGTTCGCAACTTCTTCAATGGAGCTCGTACTCGCCGTGCTGAGGGTATACGGGACTTCTGTCTCAGCGCATACCTCTGCAAGACCTGTCTCCTTGTCTGCGTGGAATAGGCCTTGCACACCGACGGGTGCCATGATAAGGGGCGTTGGGTAATGTTGCCCGAAGAGGTTCACGCTAAGGTCTTGCGTATCCATCTAAAAGAGCAGAGGCATTTGAGAATCAACGAGAAAGCGAGACTGGAAAGGGCCGATACTAACCTTCCTCAGCATTTTTGGGATTCTGTGTACAACCATCAGCCCATGATCTATGAGCCCAACGGTATGAGGAACACTTACAGCTTCCACTGTCGAAACGCCAGACGGTTACTATCCATAGTAGCCTTCTCTCCAGCGCCTCCAGCAACATAGTTATAGGCAATGTCGCTTAAAGCCTTCCGGGCCTGCTCTTCCAGTAAACGCGGATCGGTGGTGACGTTCGGCTTAAGGCCCATCAGGGCGCCTTGGCCGTATATCTCTGTCTGGTATTCTCCGTAGTTCTTCGGCATTTTTTTGTCGTCGTATAGAGAAGAATAGAGTTGAAGGTTATTTCAGAGGGTAAATAAGGTTATAAATAAAGACTGGGTTGAGGTAGTTGAACAATAAGCCAAAGATCTCCACTTTTAGCTCACACGTGCGGGGGATCTTATTCGCGTTGCTGGGGACGATGATGGAATTCCACTAATGAAAGCTTGTTATTGGCGATGTTCATACCGAGGTAGCCAATTAGCTTGATCTCCCTTCTTTTCCCTCAGCTTTATGATTTACTTCGGAGTATGTAGACGATCGTTATCCCACGAACTTCTACCGGTATGGAGTATCTACGGAGTACGGAGCACCCCCAGTATGTCTCAATGTTGCTGAATCTTGGACGACACTCTTCACTGGATAAAGAATATTTCTGGTAAATTCCTTAGCAGATCATGGCCAACACTATCAACAAATCAAAGCAAGAGTCTCTAGGTCTTTGAGTGGCTGTAAACCCACCCTAAGGCTGCCAATCTTCAAATGAGAAGAAGTCACCAGCGCAATAAAAAGGCATCTCGCAATTGATGAAGTGGTCAATTCGTGCCTGCAGTTTTGGGTGCTCTGTTGGAAATCTGTGACCCACCGAAGCCTCGAACGGAAATCCTGCGCAGGACAATACTCCTATTAGTTGTGCTCAATCTGATAGAGTAATATACTCGAGGAGTCATGGGCGGCTTACCCTCGCCATATTCCAACCAAAGGTGGTACAATTCAAGCGCATATTTGGTAGAGATCCCATATTCCACCTCCGACTCATAATCGTACTGGTCTTCGTTCCAGTCATGGCTCAGTGGGCTGGTTTCAATAAGCCTCTCGTGATGCCTGCAGAGTTCCTTGAAGAGTTTGGCGAGGGTATCTCCCAGCGTGGGCCACATCAGCCACATGGCTGGCGGGCGACGCCGCCAGCGCCCTCCTTCGAAGATTTTGGGCAGACGGGACATGATGCAAAGCGTGAGGATGTTGGCTAGCCACGAATGTGCGCGGTTCTCAACCATTTGCATCAGCATCATCTGAACGACAAAGGTAAGCATCGATAACAAGTCGTCCTTCCCGTCAGCATCAGGTTCCTGGTACGGTTGTGATAAGAAGTCCTGTCTGTCATCAGAAAACTCGATTTTGGGCAGCACACCCTCCGTTTCTCGGTCAGGTCTAGGTCTCACGATGCCACCTTCATGCACCAGAACATGACGACTAGTTTTGTTAGGAAGGTCTCCGCTATGATCGAAGAATCGACCGAGGTCAATTGCCAGAACGAGGCAACGCAGAGCAAGAGCCACGAGCGTTGTGCTTTCGAACAAACTGTGTGGCTTTTCCTTCAGAGCATTATGTAGGGCCTTCTGGTAGCGTGCGCTCAACTCGACGACCTCAATAAATTCCCAGCGGAATTTACTCTTCGAAATATAGCTGTACGCCATATCCGCCCATTTGTTTCTCACGCCTTCGAATTGGTCTAGGAACTCGTGCAGCGACTTTCCAAATTCATCGGCTGGTAGATGGTGTTTGCCGTAAAGCGTATCGCGGATCGTGCCTTTGCTTCGTAACTCAGGTGGAAGTGAATCGTAGTCCACCTTGATAAACTGAGAGTGGAACGCGTAAACCGAGGGGCTCACTCGATGTAAGTCTGGATGGGCGTTTAGTCCTTGTGGCTTCTACCTCGACTGGGTGCGTTGATGGCGTAAATGCTCACCTTTGGGCGGAAACGGATATCTGAATTCTTGATTATTCCGAACAACTTTCTCCAGAAGGCCTCTCCTTCCCGTATTGATATAAACATCTCTCAATCGACGGCAAGTGTGTGACAGTTCGTAAACATCAGTGTAGCAGTCCAGCGATTCGTATATCCAGAGTAGGAGCTCATTGGGAAGACGGAGGAGGCCACAAGTTTGTCCATGGGTTGAAGCCATGTTGGAGGACGATGATCTCGGGTTGAAAGTGCTGCCCAGGGGCTGATCAGAGTTTTGTCCAGCCACGCTGTCGAACAAGACACCGGCAGACATCAGGGATTCTGGCTGTAAATATATCAGAGCTGTTGGTATTCGTGAGCTGCTAAGGTTAAATCGACAGGCCAACTGTTTATTACCGAAAGTAGTTAGTACCCTGTAATCACTGTCTATACCAACGTCCAACCAGCCCGAGCTTCACCCGATCTCTAATTCTGGTACGGGTCATCGATATGGTGTAAACGCTTCAGCTTCGCTGCTCATAGCTACACAGTACGAGTCAGTCCATTATAGTTCCGCATGAAAAGCAATTGCTATCGTCTTGAGCATGGCGAGCCAGTATTCCTTGTCGCCGAAGTATAGCCATGAGATCAACTGATTGCACGTCCGTCGTATCATCGTTGATCATGATTCTTTACTCGCATGACGATGGTAGAAAGATCTTGAAGGGATCGGTTGTTCGCGTTGCATCCGAATCGAGTAGCGTGGCTCGCGAGGAATGAGGACGCAGCGATGATCATCACGATGGACCCCTAGTGAACTCATAGAGCATGTGGGCCTAACTCAATTGAGCATTGATGTTCCAGCTGAGCTTGGGTCCAGCCTGACGTCAGACAGAAATAATGAGTAACAGAGCTCTTGCTTTAGATTGGCCATGTCGCCATGCAAAGCGTGTTGTCAAGATATAGATAATAGAGTGGTTGACGGTGCAGCGCAAACTCAGACCCGGATTCCTCCAGGGTCCAAGCTCGCCTCCCACTTTTACGGGGCCAGATTATCGCAGATAACCTTGATAAGCTCCCGGTCTGGAGTCTTGGCGCTTTGATTTCTCCCACTTTTGTCAGCCTGTTTTCCTCCTTCATTCGACATTTTCATGCCGAAGATATGATTCTTCCCTAGCCTATCCTTGGCCATTGCCTGACGCGATCCTGCCCCGTACACGACCTTGATTTTATAGGCGCAGCATGGACGCACCCGGGACCGAGTAAATTCTGTGACTCGCCTCCGACACCGGCCGCGCCACGGTTAATTTCGTGCTGGAAATACAGCGAAAAACGACGATATAAAGCTAGCAACAGGGGTGGACGACATAGCGCGATCTAGGACTACATATCTTGGAACTCACAATGGATCCTGAACAACAAACCCCCGCAAACAAAGAAACAAGGGTGCCGGACATGGACGCGAATTCCGAGGTGTCGGCCCTTGATGAGAAGGCCGAGAAGAAGCTCATCAGGAAGATGGATATGTACATTCTCCCTTTTGTGGTCCTTCTCTATCTCTTCAGCTTTCTAGATAGAGGTATGTTCCTCGGTCAATTGCAGAATAGCCGCTAATCTCTGGGTATGCAGTCAATATTGGAAACGCTCGATTATATGGCATGGAAGAGGACTTAGGCTTGGTCGGTGATCAATATCAGATCGCGGTCTCCATCTTATTTGTTACCTACTGTGTGCGTAGTGACCTAGCCCTGATGCGACGACCGGCAACTAACCATCCGGAACCCACAGTTGTTCGAGGTACCGTCGAATCTGGTCATTAAGAAGCTCACACCATCACGTTATATTGCATCCATAGCGGTCATTTGGGGAATTATAGCAACTCTTACCGGCATAACCCAGAACTATGGCGGACTCATCGCTTGTCGCCTGCTTCTTGGCGTCGTCGAAGCCGGTCTCTTCCCCGGCCTTATGACCTACCTGACTCTTTTCTACAGCAAACATGAAATCGCGCTGCGGACAGGCTATCTCTTCAGTAGCGCAGCGCTGGCTGGCGCATGCGGAGGTCTACTCGCATACGGTATTGGCTTCATGGATGGAGTTAGCGGGCTGAAGGGCTGGCGTTGGATTCTGATTATCGAAGGCATTCCAACCGTCCTTATCGGTGTCGCCACTTGGTTCTTCCTCGCCGACGACCCTGAGACTGCGTATTATCTCAATGCGGAAGAAAGGGCACTGGTCGTTAAGGTCCGCAGTCGGCACTTCGGCCACACGGCGTCCGCGCAAAAGTTCCACTGGGCAGATGTCAAAGAAGGCGCAATGGACTGGAGGATCTACGCCTTTTGCATCGCACAATTTGGCATCGATACCATGCTTTACGGATACAGCACCTTTCTGCCTACCATTATCAGGGGACTAGGCGATTGGTCCACACCCGAAGTACAAGCCCTAACAATCCCTTGCTACGCACTGGGCGCAATCGCATACTTGATCATTGCCTGGTTCAGTGATCGCATACAGAGACGTGGGGTATTCACCTGCATCTTCGCAGCGATTTCAGTCGTTGGATACGGTATACTTATCTCGGACTCTTCGTCAGGAGTGCATTACTTTGGCGCCCTGCTTGTCGCCATGGGGTTGTATGTGGCCGTAGGTTTACCACTAGCTTGGCTGCCCACCACTCTCCCTCGCTACGCAAAACGCACCTTCGCTACCGGCCTGCAGCTGACGTTCGGCAATGTCAGCGGAGTCATGTCACCGTTTCTTTACAAGACCGAGGAAGGCCCTCGATATGTACGCGGCAATGCTGTGACTCTAGGGCTAGTAGCCTTTGCGGGCATTGTATATGGCATCATGTGGGCTTATTACGGGTGGAAGAATAAGCGCAGAGACCAGGGTTTTGAAGACCACAAGATTACTGGTAAGACGGACGAGGAGATTGAGGAGATGGGCGATATGAGCCCACGGTTTCGATACGCTATATAAGAGACTTACGCCCCGATCTGAACACATATACTCTATATGAATCAATCTAGAATTTTAGAGATAAATCTGATATGCATTGCTTAGTTTGCTGGGACGCTGAAGTATACCCACCGATTTGTCTTGGCGGCTAGATCCTTGTTTGATTCCGCTCCTCTTTGAATCTTCTTTTTGCACTTACCGAGGTTTGGAAACCAGTTGCTTGCGTGGCAGAAATGCCCGGCCTTTTCTCTTCATGGCCATTGATTGGGTCGTCTATTATTGTCATTGCCAGTATCGTAAGCCTATCTTTTGAAGATGCCTCCATTATAATCAGGAATTACATCACCGCATCGCTTGTTGGCGTCGATATCGCATCGCCTTATGTTCCGAGCTGGAACACCTGGCTTGATCCTCTGCAGAAGGTACCTCATGGAGAAACCCAATTTATCCCAGAAAGTGATGGCTGGAATCTGTACTATCACCTGGGCGGGTACGGGCCTTGGATTGAGAAGGCCGAAGGTCCTGTACAGGGTATTGAACCGCCAGCTGGCTGTCATGTTGAACAAGTACATATGGTAGTGCTCCGCTGGTCCATGGTCTTATACGTCTACATAACTAACAAATAAATAGATGGCGCGTCATGGAGAAAGATACCCTACAAAATCTGCTGGAAGCCGTAGGTTACGCCTTGATCTACCGCAGCATGTTCTAGGATCTAATCGCTCTTCCAGGTCATCTTGATCTTCTCAAACGCATTCAGGAAGCAAATGTAGTACTCAATGGCTCATTATCTTTTCTAAATGACTGGGATTACTTCACCAGTAACCCGGAGAAAGACTTCGATCAGTTGACCAGGACTGGTCCCTACTCAGGCACCCTGGGTGCTTTTACAACTGGCACACGCCTGTTAACACGGTACCAACATCTTCTGCCTAATGACTCCAAGATCAAGTTCTGGGCGAGCGACTGCCAGCGCGTCATTGAAACGGCGCAGTATTTCGCGTATGGCTTGCTTGGCTTGGACTGGGAAAAGAGAGGGAAAGCCGAACTGGAGATCATTCCGGAAACATTCGACCGAAGAGCGGATACTCTCACGCCCGGTGATACATGTCTGAAATACCTCGAGGACACCCAGGAAGGACACGACAAAGGGATCAACATGCTCGCTCAGTTCCAGCAGGCGTATGCCCCAGCTATAACGCAACGACTAATATCCGAGCAGGGAAACTTGGCCCTGGGCGAGTTGACAAACATCGAGATCTTCAGCATGCAAGAGATGTGTGGTTTCGAGACCCTCGTGCGAGGCTCAAGCCCCTGGTGCGATGTCTTCACCCGCGAAGACTGGGAGAACTTCGAATATGCCCGTGACCTCGTGCACTATTACCGCGCTGGTCCGGGGAACAAGTATGCCGGTGCAATGGGCTGGCTTTGGCTGAATGCTACGGCTGGTCTTCTACAGGAGGGACCAGAAGCTGGGCCTCTGTTTTTCAGCTTGTAAGTTTTACGTTTGCGTCCCTTCATGCGGCATATTGTAGCTAACGCGGCCGTAATAGTGTCCATGATGGAGATATCGCCCCCTTCCTGGAAGCGCTCGATATCTTCAAGGATCCGAAATATGATCCTCATCTTCCTACGACACACAGGGCAAATGACCGTGTCTGGCGCACCTCATCGGTAATGCCGATGGGTGGTCGCATCATCCTCGAACGCATGACCTGCTCTTCGATGAACGGTGGCCTTGGGGGTGAGGAGGCCACATTTGTTCGCGTCAACATAAACGACAAGATAGTGCCTCTGCCATACTGCAAGTCTGGCCCTGGACTCTCTTGTCCTTTGAGCGAATTCGCTACGCATGTGACACGCCGGAACATGGAAGTCGGCGATTTTGGTGAGGTTTGCGGTCTCGAAGGGGATGTTGGGGAGATAACATTCTTGAAGCAATAGTATTTGTACTGCGGGTGCGGATATATATATTTCTGGATGGTTAGACAATTTAGAGATGATGTGCATACCGCCCATTTCACGTGACCATAATCCGGCTAACAATGTTTACTGCGACCAAGAACAAAAGTTTCGAGCAGCTCGCTTTTATCTGCCATCTGAACAACCCACATTGTCAGTGACCTGACGCTTTCGCTAGAAGCTCAATAAAGCCAGGATCCTCACTTTCAATTACTTTAACCCCAACAACCAACAAAATTCGATCGCTGTAACAGCCGCAAAGATGGAGTACCACTCCGTCCCTCTGGAGGAGCGCGCGAAAGATGACAAGGGCAACACTTTGCCCTGGGGATATGTTTACAAAGAGTGAGCATACCCCTAAATCGAAAAAATCGCGAAAGCGATGTCGGTAAATATCAGTATGCTAACCCAATAACAGCGAATCCCGCAACCCACGACGACCGCCAGAGGAAACAGGACCATTCGGCAAGCGAAGAAACGCGCGCTACGAGCAGTCCAGATCCCGCACTCGCACCGGCACACCTGCAAAGAAGGAGAACCAAAACGTCGCAGAATTCGGCCGGCTCTTCGCGCAGCAGCAAGAGCAAGAAAAATCACGAAACACACTCCCCAAGTCCTCGTCGTCGTCGAACCTCGAGACCGCCAGGAAACAGACGGAGAAGGTTGCGACGGAATGCTTCTTGTACGGATACAGGAATAAGGATGGCGAGTGGAAGGTGATTGACAAGTACGAGCGCATCTCGCGAGGCATGATCTGCGAAGACTACCCGAGGAACGACCCCAAGTCCAGCTTTGGCCACGCACAGCTCCTCAGCGGTGGCGATGTGATTATCCGTACGAACCTGTCTGCGGACGCGAACCGCAAGTCGAAGCGCTATGCCGGTGGCTTCCACTGGATCAAGGTCACCTTCGACTCAACGGAAGCCGCAGACCGCGCATGCTTCTACTCGCCGCAGGAAATCGACGGACACTTGGTCTTTTGCGAGATGTACCACGGCCAAGGACCAGCAGAGGACGTCGCGATCCCAGTGGGCTCAACACAAGCGAACCGCTTCATGTCCAAGAACAAGCGCGCACTAACGACATCGCACTCAACGACCTTCCTGCAAAGCAAGGACAAGCCATCCCGCGCAACAACCCTCCCCCGCTCCTTCGCCGCCAACAACCTCGCCAGCATCGCCGACGAAGATACCTCGTTCTCACAGGAATCCACCAGCACCGTCAGCTCCGCAACAGCAACAGGCATCGAAGCGTCCAACACATCCTCATCCTCCACCGCAACCCT